TATATTTTTAATGGGGAACTATCTTACTAGGACATATACTTCCTTTCCTTTCAGGTTTACTGTTTATACCAGATCATTAGAAAAGCCAGTCTGTCTCCTTTAACAATAACAGATGTTAAATTAAAAAAAAAAAAAAAAAGGTATAGGTATTACATCGGGATACTTTTGGAATTGAATGCTTTGGGAAACTAAAGACACATTCTCTGTGACCAAAAACAACTTAATAGCACTCACAATTAGAATTCAGGATAAGAAGTGATTTGGGTGAGTCTGCAGAAGATGTTATGGAAACAAAATGAGAGGATTCTTTTGTTGGATGACCAACAAAAGAGTTCTCTGGCCCCTCTCCCTCCCCCTCCCCCTCCCCTTCTTCCTCCTCCACCTCTTCCAGAATCATTTTTATTTCTGAAACATTGACTATAGGAGGTCCTCAATTTTTATCTTCTTTTCCTTACTCTACAGAATTTTGCAAATTTGTCTGATCATTACAATCACATTAAGCACATAATAAATATGCAGAGTTCTTTCCCCTGTAGTATCTTACGCATTAAGGAAAAAAATTTATCAAGAATCCTAGAGAGTTTCCATCATTAAGTATGTTCAGGTATCACTTTCCCATTGTCTAAAATTGTGGCTGTTATTCTTTACTTATTTTGCAACAAAGACATGTAAGTAAACAAACACTTTCCATCAGGCAAAAAAAAAAATAGATAATTTTTATAGTCAAACACATACTAAACATAGAAATGTAAATTACATTTTCTTCAATGTGAGTTAATTTTTATTTATATAAGCTATCTTCTTTTATGAATTTTGTTGTCTTAATTGTAATCCACCTATCTTCTCATAATAGGATATTCACTCTATTCACATGCATGTCTTTGTTTTTTTTTTTATTTTTTTCTTTAATAAGAGAAACACAACCTAGATTTAACTTCCAGGAATGCAAGTAAAAGGGTAATGAGGGTCTGGCAAATTGAAAACATGGAGAAAAAAATTAATAAAATGTGGATATAAAATATTAGCTACTGGTTTTGTGTGATGCCGATCTGGAAGGAAGTATAATATTCTTAAGCTATCAGGGATGCCAAGCAAATGTGATGAAATGTAGCAATACAAAACCATTTATTATTAATAAATAAAGCTAGTACTGACTTTATTATTAAGCATGTTGGAAGAAGGCAAAAATGTTCCATTGATATCAATCATTAATGACACAATATCTAAATTGTGTTTACTGAGAAGGAGCATAAACAAAGACTAGAACATCTGTGGTTAGAAATTAGAACAGTGAAGTAAGAAGGCAACATCTTTGCTTAGAATATCTACAATGATTACATGGTGCCACAATAGTAAAATTTTTATGTAAATTGGAATGGTTCCATTCATCATACTTAGGAAGACATGTTAAATATTATAATATCTTCCTAAGATCATCTTCCTAAAACAGGTGGAACTGGAAATTAAACACTGACACTGTCCATTTCTCAGGACAGCATCAAATTAGTAAACCCCAGGAAACTAATAAATAAAAATAAGATGCTATCTATTAGTTTAAAATGGGGAATTATGAATTAGAAAAGAAATTAATATGGAATCTGTGCAATCAGCAGATTCTTTTGTGGAAGTTAGAGGACATGGGAAATATTTATCAATTAAAAGACAATTTATAAAATTAATTTGGAAATTATTATCATAGTTTCTATGATCAACACATTTTTTTCCTATAATATTAACTACGAAGGAAAGCAAATCATGATAAGTATCTTGACAGTTGAGTTCAGAATCAGAAAAAGAAGAACCAGAACTAAATTCTTAAAGGACCCAGGTCTGATAGCCTGATGTGTCCACTTCCTAGGTGGATCTTAACCTAAAAATTTATTACTCAAACACTTGCATTTAACCCACATCTGAGGTTTCCAAGTCTATGATTTGGGGAATATTCATTTAGAAATGGGCAAGGTTTCTCTCCCCTAGGCATTGCTAACATTTGTCTTCTTAACTTTTTGTTTCTATAAGTTTACTTGATTGACATTTCTTTGTTTAGCTATTGAAAAAGTACTTTGCTAACAGTAAAACACCTCAGTTTAGAAAGTTATTCCATTCAGGTTTTTATCTTTCTTGTGATCTATTCCAGTTTAACTCTAAAAGATTTTATTGCAACCATCTGTCACCCTAATTCTTATCAATTATTCTAAAACTTTGATATTATGTTGAACAAATGACAAGATATTTAAAACTTCATTAAAGTCTTTATTATATTTTTGTTTTAAAATGAAAAGTATATAAATGTTTTTAAGTTTCATGTTTCCAGCACACATCTAAATTTTTTCAGTGAACAACCTCATTTGGCATTCTCAGAAAATAATACTACTAATTGAGGTCTGGTGTATTACATGATTTTGCAATGGTTATCTTTGAAATCTACTATAATTAAAACTTACATTTTTCTTGCAGCAAATATACATTTCTCATTCTTATTCTAATCTAATAAAAAGTATCATCTTTCCTCAGAAAACTTGAAATGGTACCACCATTTGACTAAGCTATCCCACTTATTAGTATATACCCAAGGAATTAAAATCAGCATACTACAGTGACACAGCCACATCAATGTTTACAGAAGCTTAATTCATAATAACTAAGCTATGGAACCAACCTAGATGCCCTTCAACAGATAAGTGGATAAAGAAAATGTGACATGTATACACATGTATACTCAGCTATAAAAAATAACAAAATTATAGCATCTGCCAGTAAATAGATGGAACTAGAGATATCATGCAAAATTAAATAAGCCAATTCCTAAAAACCAAAGGCTGAATGTTCTCTCGAAGGTGGACATTAACCCAAAGTCAGGGTGGGGAGTGAGGGAATGAAGAGAAGAATAAAATTCCACTGGATTAGACATAGGTGAATGAAGGGGAGAAAGGGCAGAAGGGAATAGAACAGACAGTAAAATAAATAGGATGTAACTTTCCTATGTTCATACATGAATACATGAACAGTGTAACTGCACATTATGTACAACTGCAAGAATGGGATCTTAATTAGAATGTTTTTTACTCCATGTATGTACAATATGGCAAAATTCACTGTACTGTCATGAATACCTAAAGAGAACAAATAAAAAAATTAAAGAGTATCATCTGCTAAATTAATAGTATGCCTCACGATACCTGGTAGCTTTTTATTCCAACATTTAATTTCAGTATGAGAACTTATGGGAAACATGCTAATTTTTCTCAATCACTTCCTGAAGGCAGACATCACTAACAACTGCAAAACTCATTTTTGTTTGACTCAGTTGAGTTTAAATTAGACTTCTCATTTGGTGCACCAGCTCCAGGTAAGTAGAACTGGAGCTGGTGCATCAAATGAGGGGTTTAGATTCCTGGTCTATTTTGTAATATCTGACAAGGTTTGTCACTTATTTTGAGTCTGAGTATTTATCTGGAAGTAATTATCTTCTAAAAATTTTCTGAACCAAGAAAGAGTGCTTTTGTAAAGTACTCCAACTACTTTATTTCCTATGGATCACTTCATCAAGATAACTAAAATTGCCAAATATTGTTGATAAGGTCTGAAAAGCAGTGAGGTTTGCTAAGGAGTCTGATCAATTAGAATGGTTCATAGTCCTATTGCCCTATCACTAGAGGAAATATAAATGTAAGAATTTTATAGCTCATAAATAAAAGGCCTTACAATTATAGATTGTTAAAAAATGTTAACATTTTAAGAGTATTTTAACTGAATCTTTGGTTCATAATTAGATATTTGTTTAACTCTTTTTGCCTTTGCATAGCTGGCTCTCTTCTAAAGAAAAGAGTCATATCATATAACTCAAAAGATAGTTACATTTATAAATAAATAGGTAACTTAGGATTGTCAGGTTATTTCTAATATGTAAATCAGAATTATTTATGCTTTTTGGTCTGAATGTTGATAAACTTTCCAAAATGCCTTTTGGAAATGTGGCATTTGGAACATGCCACACTGTTCCAAAGTATGTTGATTTTTTTTAACACACCTGAAGATTTTTCCCAAATATGAGTTATCTCATTTCCTAAGGGTTAAAAAGTGATATAATTACTAAATAGGAGTAGGTGATTTAAAAAATCCTGTAATTTAATTTGTAGAACCTGTACAATTGAAGTCATGAAAGTAGTCTTTCAAATTTTAATGTTTATTTCTATCTTATCCAACTTTTATCCTGATAGTTTTTTTTTCTCCACATTAGAGATAATTTGCATTTTTCATTTTGAACACTGCTAATGCCAGTGGCAAACCTATACATCTGATAAATAAACTTAACTTTACTGTTTTATGTTAGTGATTTCCCTTCTGGGGAAAAAATCACTAACAGCTTTTCCTTATACAGCTTACTTAAATTAGTTCTTCCATCTTTAAACAACTTTATAATACTTGCCTCAAGGGAAATATGTGCAGAATGTTTCACTGAGTACTGTTATCATGGTATTAAGATGTGAAGAAGGAAGAGGAGGACTCCCTGAAACAGGACTACTCTGTGATCTAGCAATGTATGATGTAACATGAAGGTAGGCATAATGACTATATTTGCTTATCTAATTCATTTTCTTCATGCTTATCAGATACAAATATTTTTGTTTATGGCTTAAGTAGAAAACAAATTAATAGATGAATTTGTTCACAATGTGAAAAAAAATGGCCTCCAAAAGAAATAGGAGAGTTTTATAAGTGAAAAATCTTTCTTCAAAAACACAAAAATCCCTAAATTCTGATCTTCTGGAGTATTTTTATGTTTCTGCCAGAAGCTCCTCCTGTCACCTTTGCTTTTAGAATAAATGAGTCCCCACTTTTGGATGTGATCCCATTCACATTTCCACTATTATTTTAGAGCTGGAACTTCATGTTTCTTCAGCTGATAAATACCCGAACCTATTGTCCATGTAAGTGTAATTTTTACCAGCTTCTGTCATTTTTCATTGTTTATTTGAAGAGTAACTCCAAATACTTACTGGGTTGAGTACCACAGTGAAGAAAAGTTCACCTCCTTGGATACTCTTATCCAGCTCTCTAGGACCTCCAGGATATTCTTTGTAGAAAATCGTATGAGTGAAAAGTCCACAGGTCTGTCTTGGAAGAACCTGAAGAAAAAATGACCAAGTGAAGAAAATACTGCGCTCGACAAATTACTTGATTGAAATTTTTCTCACAAAAGATGATATACAAGCTGCTGTCATTAGTCAATTTTAACTCTGGTCCAGAAAAATACTTTAAGCTCTGGGAAAGAGAGGATGCTATTACAAGAGAATGAATAGTGAAGAAAATTAAAAGAATATTTTACAACTAAAATAGGCTTGAATTATTCTAACTGCTTTTCTACTGTAAGTATCAAAGTCAGTACTTTCATTATGAAACCTAATATGTTTTAGCATCTTTTTTTTTTCTTTTTTCTTTTTGTATTGGGAACTGAACTCAGTGGTGCTTAACCACTGAGCCACATCCCCAGCCCTTGTTTATATTTTGTTTAGAAACAGGGCCTCAATAAATTGTTGAGGCTGGCTTTGAACTCACAATCCTCCTACCTCAATCTCCCCAACCTGGGATTACAGGCTTGAGCCACCGCGCCTGGTGTGTTTTAGCATCTTAAAAAATAAAAAGTAATAATGAGAATTTACAAATATTGGAATTGTCTGTGCACTACTGTAATCATAGTAGTCAAAAAATGTAAAGATTAATACTTTCTGCCAAGTTGTACTCAAGCATTAGAAAATATAGTCATTATTAAATTATTTAATGTGCTTCTTAGGAAATGACATTATAAAGTAGAACAAATATTTGAAGCATAAATCAGTTCTAGAAAGGACTACATCATGCTGCCCAAAATTCCAGGTGTGAAACCCACTAATTTCAAACATATGAAAGAATTTATCCATTTGGTTCACGATTTTTAGAGAGTGTTATAAACAAAATGATAAATGGTCACTACTGTAAAGGTTTTCTTTTCATGCTTTGTATATGAAAATCATTATTTCATCAATTATACACATTTGTGATAAAGACTAATTTTTTATAGATTTCCTGATAAAATATCAGTGAAATTATAAAAGAAGTAAAGATGTTCAAGATAGTACAGTTTTTATCCTAGTATCATATAATAACCTCATGACAACCTGTTTGTCACTGTATCTTTGAAATGGCAGAAAATAAATGAATATGTTTTGGAATGCTACAAATTTTACAGCATCTAATACAAGCAGGCTTTCTGCTTATTGCCCTAAGCAAGTAGATCTTCATTTTTTTT